GGAACCAGGGCCAAAGTGATACCAAAACATTCTTCTCAAGAACAGACACCAGAAGTATTCAATTATTTTTTTTACAACAAGGTATTCTCAAAGGGTGGCCATCGTCTGATCGTTCTTAACCGTGTTTCCGGGCCAAGAACATGAAAGTGAGTCTGGTGTACAGTCTAGGGAGCCGTTTGGTCTCTTTCAAGAGACCATGTGATATGGCACAGTTTCTGGAGGACATCCGGGTCACAGAGGAGCATCTTACGGGTTTGTTTATATCTAGACAAGAACGAGTTTGCCAACAAAAAGGGAGAAGAGGTCCGTTGAGATTAGACCGAGGCCTGGAGATGGCAGTCCGGGGCCTCGCGGCCTCAGCCGCTAAGTGCAGGGCGTTTCCTCAAAGTGCCGGCGCTTGCCTTGATCCGCTGGATCCTTTCAGGCTCGCCGGTCGGGTACTACCAGGTGTTTTCCAACCACCCACCAGCAGGGGGCAGAAGGCAGCAGTGCCAGCACAGCAGGTTGGGACCAGATTTCCCCCGATCCCTGTCGGCGATACCGGTCAGAGACTGGGGTGGGTCGGAAATCGTGCACCTTGGGGAGGGGGCGGGGGGGCCGCGCCGCGCGAGCCGTTGGGCCTGGCTCAGAGAAGGCGTCGCTGCCGCAGCCTTTGCCATCGCTTGGGAACAGAAGTAGCGGGAGCAAGCGCAGCGTGGCGATGGGTGGGAGCCGCGGCCCGCCGGAGAGGCTGGGCGGCCACCGGTGACAGGTGAGTGCGCCAGCGCGTGTGCTGAGCGCCCCCCACATGCGATGGTCGCGTCCGGGCCCCCCGCGGGGCCGCGCTGGGCCGTACCACCCGTGCCCGCCGGGCGGGGGCCATGGTCCGCGAGCCCCCCCTTCCGGAACTGAGAGGGGCGGCTGCGCGGGGGCGGCGGGATGGACGGGCCCTGAGGGGCCGGGCGGGGGCGGCGGGCTGTACCACTGGAGCGGCCGCGGGGAGCAAGCCGAGTGTGCGAGGCCCGAGCCCCGGAGGGGCTTGGGGTCCAGACCCCCGCGTGTGCGGGCTGGGAGGCCGAACCCGAAGAGTACGGGGAAGACGGGGTGTGCGATGGCTCAGCCGTGAAGGGGGCGCCCCGCACCCAGAGTGTGCCGCGTGGGGGCCGTGGGAGCCGTTCCTCTAGTGTGTTCCGAGGCGTGGGGGCTTCTGGCGAGGGGGCTGTACCAAGTGTGGCCGCGTTGGGGCCCCTGGGTTGTACCATCCAGGCTCGGGGGGAGCCCTCCGTGGAAGCCGGGCTGTGATGTTTACGCTCCGAGGGGCGGGACGGGCTCCAGCGGGTGTCGAGGGGCGTACTTGGGAGGACCCTGGTGCCCGGAGAAGAGGAGGGGCTTCTGCTGTCTGGACTTGAAGTGTGGGACTTTACCCTGAGCCCACTCTTGATTGGTTTTGGGGAGAACTGGATGATCACGGGGGTGCCTTGAACAATGGGATCGCCAGTTCTCGACTCCCAGAACCCTTTTAAAGAAAGGTGGTATCACCTGATTCGAAGGAATGTGGGGCATCTTTGGACGAGGGATTGCGGCGGGGGGCGGGGGTGGGGGGTCGGAGGGAGTCCTAGGAGTCACCGAAGTTTTCTGCTTTAGGCTCCGTCTTAGGTAGAGGGTCTCGAACTCAGCTGTACCCCGACCTGCTCGTTAAGACTTGGGAGGAGGGGGTGTCCCCGGGGCACCGTGGCTGGGGACATCGTGATCCTTGGCCTTCCCACGGCCCCTGTTTCTCATTTCTTGGGGGCTCAGCAAGAGGCTTGGGCTGGAGTAGTTAGGACTTCCCGTGAGGCTGCTGTCCAGCCTGGGCCACTCTCCCCTGCCCAGAGAAGCAGCGAGAGTTTGTTCCCGGCCTGACTTTGATTGGCAGTGCTGTGAAGGGCCAGTCCTCTGGACCCCTGAGCGGGGGGCTGTGTGCGCTCCGGGTTACCAGCCCAGCCAGCCAGTGTTTGCGTTCTTGACCAGCTGAGCGATAACAGTTGGCCTCATATGGAGGCTGAGAGCTGTTTTCTCAGCTGTTTTTCTATGCATAGGTCAAGGGGACTTGGAAGGGGGTGTCCCTGGCCCAGCCCGGCCCAAGGCCGAAGTCTGCTCTGAAGGGCTTGGGGCAGCCGGCTCCCCCCACGCATGTAGTTTGTCGTAGTGGTTGCTGGGTAGGTGCTTGGAGCAGCCAACCCTGGAAGCAATGGCCAGTGCCCCTGTTCCCCGGGCCAGCTTATGACCTTGGCTTGCCCTGTAACCTTTGCCCCAGGTCTGGTGTACCTGGGAGACCGGCTGCTTTTCCTGATTGATCAGCCTGAGCTGGGCTGGTGATGCGGTTGGGGGGCAGCCGGGTGCTGAGCTCCCCGGCGTCCGAGGGTCATGGCTCCTGGACAGACGGGTCCCTGAGTCTGTGAGGACAGGGGAGCGCTCTCGGAGTTGGGGGTTTGCTCCTCGGGTGTCGCCCCCCAGCTTGACAGCAGCGGCAAAGGCAGTCATGGAACTGGTGGCTGGCCGAGGGCGTCTCGTGGGGCGCACGGTGGGTGTCATCTCCCGCCTCCCTGGGCCCCAGGCAGGCAGGGCCTTCCCAGAGCGGCCTCCCTGCTGGGCCTTCTGCACACCTGAGCTCTTTACGTCTTGAAATAATACGCGTGGTTAGCCGTCCTGAGAGAGACCGAGGCAGGCTCTGACGGGAGGTCTCGGAGCTGCAAGCGGTGGAGCCGGGATGCAGGCCCTCAGCGCGCCTTGGCCTCCGGCTTCCTGGAGCAGGGGCTTGTCTGAGCTGTGTGCCCAGCCCTGGGCCCCCCAGGGCTTTGCAGGGTGCAGAATCAGAAACGGAGCCTCAGAGGAAGAATTGTCTTCTCAGATCCTGTGGGACCCTCGGGGGCCAGGTTGGGGGTTTGAGCCCCTGGTGCCACGCGCTGTGCCCACAGAACCCCAGGCAGGGGTGTCTGCCGCCTCTGACCCGGGTCCTGGGCGTCTGAGCCTGGGGCTGACAGAGCGCTCCCTCCTGCACACGGCTGTGGGGAGCGGGCGGTCTCTCTGCCGTGCGACCTTGTGCCAGCCATCGTCTTCGCGCAGTGGGCGCAGTGAGGCAGGTGCTTCGCGCTGCTCTGAGGGTCAGACGAGTCAGTGGACGAGAAGCTCCAGCAAGGTGCCTGGCACTGTTGTGGGACCCAGGCACCCAGCGTCCTCCACACCCTTCCGTGTCCCGAGATCCAGCTCCCTCGCTGAGCCCAGCCAGCACGCAGGAATTTGATGTCTCTGAAGATCTGCACTGAAGCAGTTCAGAGCACAGGGTTCAAATCCAGCCCTGAGCAGGCTCCTCCACCCCTCTGAGCTCATCTCGTCATCCGTTCCCCTACAGCTCCCACCTGGAGGGGCTCCTGTGTGGGGGATGGGGGTCAATTGCGGAGGACATGTGTGGCTGCTGGCCTAACGGTGACCCTCGGCCTGATCGTGGCCTCTCCCTGTTCAGAGCGGTGGATGGGTGGACACGGCGAACCCCAGCCTACCCGGGATGTTGGGGTTCTTATTTCCACGTGGACTCCGAAGTCTCTGGCTGCCTTGTTGGAGAGCGCCCCAGGAGGCCAGGGCTGAATTAGCATCTGCGTTTTCCAGCTGCGGCAGCAGGTGGGGGCGCTCTGCCGGGTAGAGATCCTATCAGACGGGGCCTGGGTGGGGCGGGGAGCGTGCTCCCTGGAGCCAGCTGGGCTGGTGGGCTGCTGAGGTGTGGCTTTGCCAGAGGCCACTGTGGAGCTGAGGCAAGTGAGGTTTCATTCAGCCACCAGCATTGATTGAGCGCCTGCTGTGTGCACTTGTCAAAGTCCCTATCTCCTTAGAGCTGAGGAGGACAAATCCGTAATAGGTTGACGAGCAGGGAGCAGGTTATCGGGAGGTGCTGGCCGTGAGTTCAGATCGGGTGCTAGAAATTGCCTGGGACTTTGTCAGACGCGTCAGATGGGCACACCAGGGTGGTCGCTCGGGATGGGAGAGGGCCCAGGGTGCCCAGGTCCCAAGGGACGACGGAGCTTGGTGAGGGCTGGGCTGTGTGGTGGGAGAGAGGGGCAGGCAGGGCCTGAGTCACCCCAGGCCGGGTGAGGTGCCAGGAGAGGGTCTCAGGCTTCTGGGGGTGGGGCGGGCAGGGAGTTGCCCGTGTCTCCCACGCGCCCTGGGATGTGGCTGCCTGCCTCTTCTGTGATCCCTTTGCCTGTTCCAGGACCTGTGGCTGCTCCCCCCAGGGAGACAGGCACGAGGCTCTCCAGGCTGCCTTTCCTGCCTGGTTCTCCTTCCCCAAGCCAGCCTGCTGGGCTGGCGTCAGGTGGCAGTCACACCTGGGGAACACAGACCTTGCTGACCCTGCCTTCTGCCAAGTTGCCGTCTCCTGGGCTTGCCTTCTAATGAAGACAGGCGGGTCGGGGGTCAGGGAAGGAAGTGAGGGGCAGTTACTCTCTTCTAGCTAATCAAGGAGGGCCTCCCTGAGGTGGTGACCATGGGCAGGGCCTGGAGTGCAGTGAGGGAGCTGTGGGGTGACCTGGGCGAGGAGCCTGCAGACCCTGGAAGCACTGGCTCTGAGTGCGGCTCGACAGCCCTGAGAGCTGGGACCGGGGGGGACAGGCCCTGCATCCAGGCAGTCAGCCGCAGCGTTCCCCAGCACGTGGAGCTGCTTGGCAGCCCCAGGTGGGGATGACCCTGGTCCCACGCACGCACTCGCCCGGAGGGTTTAGTGCAGTGAGCGGGAGCCTGGTGTTTGTCTTTGTGGAAGCAGAGTGCCCTCGGAGGAACCCCCAGGACGGTGAGGGGAGGGCGTGTGTCCTGCAGCCGGGCTCAGCCACGAGAGCACCGGGGCCACCCCTCCCCGGGCCTCCTGCAGCCTCCCAGCACTCTGGGCGGAAGGCCCTCCACCGGCGGCCTCTGGGCTGACGCGGGTGGTTCCGTGGCAGGCTCTTCTGGACAGGCAGCCAAGCAGAGAGGCCCAGCTGGGGGAGCCGGCGGGAGCGGGACCAGGAGGGAGGGAGTGGGCGTGGGAGGGGCGCGGGCTGGGATCTCGGCCTGGCCCCCTGGGGCAGGACCCACTGCCAACTCGGCACCCACGGCAGGGCCGGGGTGCCCGGGGCGCGCCGAGCGGGGGCCAGCACGCCGGGCGGGCCGAGGGGAGCCCACACGGGAGAGTCGCTGCAGGAAGCTGTTGGAGCCCCGCCGTCCTGCCCGGGAAGCGTGGCCGGCCGCAGACGTTTCTGAGGGTGAGGCCAGAAACCCGGGCTATGCTCCGTTTGCCCCCTCACAGGCCCGCTCCCAGCACACTGGCATGGCTGCGCTGCCTCGCTCCCCGCCCCGCCCAGTTTCAGGCTCTACGTGGTCTGGTGGGCTGCTGGTCTCTCCCGCCCCGCCTGGACTGCTCAGTGACCCGGGCAGGGGGCTGTCTGCCCTGGCACTGCTGCCTGGGGCCTTGCTTCACCGCTCTGGGGTGCGCATGCTCAGCTGAGACTGGAGGGGTTGCAGGAGCCAGCATGGCCTCCTGGGAAGGACGTTGCTTGGTGAGGTGACCCTGAGGGCCGAGGGGTGCGGGGCTGGGGCTGACCAGCCGAGGGGCCTTCCCAGGGGCTCCAGAGGGGAAGAGGAACCGGCCCCACACGTTAGCCTGCGGGGTGGGGGGTCTCGCCCCCGTTTTACAGCTGCGAGACAGGCGCAGAAGGCTGCCTCGAAGTGGTTGCTGGTGCCGGGCACTGCTCCAGAGCTTAGCATCTG